GTGCTTGGCCGAATTTGGACGAACTCACGACGACTTCGAGCGCCACGTCGTGTGGATGTTGAACGCCGTGGCCACGATGACGATGGTGGCCGCTGGTGGCCGCTGATGGACGCGCTTCAAAGATCGCATGCGCGAAGGCGATCCAGGTTGGGTGCTCGACGTGGGGCACGTCGACCTGTGTGAAGGCGAGACGTTGTTGGAGTACATTACCGTGTTCGTGTACTCGTTGCTGCGACCAAACGCGGGTCGGCAGAAGAATCGGCGTGTGGGTTGGCCGACGACTGTGGGGGCCTTGGCCGGGTCTTTGGCAAATTTTGCTTTGACCCGTCGATCGATTTACGGGCAACTATCTGCCGAGCTTGTCGCGCGGATCGCAGTTCGCGCAGGAACGCGGCGTGAACGCGAGGTAACTTGGAGCGGACCGCAGCTTCTGACAACCATCGCGTAGATGAACCGTCTGCGACGGCAAGCTGTCGTCCACCCTTCGTCCATTTCGACTGCACCACCCGTGGTGCGGTCGAGTGTAGTGTCAACGACGACGGGGGTGGCGCCGTCGATTTCGCGAGCAGGGGTGCTGGGAGCGTCTCCCCTACCAACGGGAAGGACGCGAAATCCCCCAGAGGATCCGCGGCTGGCTGGGCGGCAAGAGTCGGGGCGGTCGATGGCGCTGGACCGCGACCGTGGGTATGGAGGAATGAAGACGGAACCTGCAGCGGCGGGTCCGGTGCAAGGTCAACGTCCGATGCTGCCCGCGTTTCGGACGGAGCGCGCCCGCCTGAGGGCGGAGGCGATGGAGTGGCGTGAAAACGTGGAAGAGCGTCAGGTGTCAGCGCACATCGTGGCACCGTCGCCTCCGGCCGAAGATCAGCGTCCGGCGGAAGAAGACGACCAAGAGGAGGGGTAGAGGGCGCCACAGGAGTGGAGGGCGCTTCGTCTGGCGTCGTAGGAGGTGCAGGTGTAGGCGCATGGTAACGTTTAAGCTTGCCGACATAAAAGGTCGGATGCACGCTCCAATCGGGGGGAAGTTCGAGTTTGTAGGAAGTCGAACTCACGTCATAAAGAACGGCAAACGGGCCGTGCCAAGTGGAACGCAGTTTGACATTTGCGCTGGCTCCAGGGGCGCGTGCACGAAAGGTGTGATCGGGGAGGGCCGCTTTGTGGAGGAGGACAAGATCGCCGACAGAAAAGGTCGCCAAATTGGAACGACCACGGCGGTCGGAGTGCGTCGCTTGCCGCTGCTGAGCGAGCGCGAGGTTGTCCTTGATCTGTTGCAACACAGATTGACGATGGGCAAGGAGGGCCGTCAAGTCCTGGACGGAACGCACTGGAAGGTCGCGGCGATGGCTTCGATCGCCGGAGAAATAGCAGGAAGCATCTCTCCCCCTGAAACGGGACTGTCGAGGAGTTGAGGGATACGAGGGTGCTGTAAATGAACAGCATAGTGGGGTGAGACGTCCGTAGAAGCCTCGACGGACGTGTTGTACGCAAAGACACGTGGGGAAGGAGCGTGGCCCACGAGGCAGAAGGTTGGTCTACCGAGTACGCGCGCAACATATCCTCAAGCGCGCGGTTGGCACGCTCGGTCTGACCATCCGACTCGGAGTGGTCGGTAGTAGACATGACAAGGTCGTTGCCACAG